ATTGATATTTGCTGAATGAGGCTCTGTGTGTGTCATATAATTCAGAGTGTCTGTGTCAATGTAAATGTTCACATCTTGTTAATATTATGTGAAGATTGTTGATGCTCTCATTTTTACTTTGATGTTTGCAATTTTGGCATCTTGTTAATATCAATGTAAGTGGCGAATATGATGTGAAGATTGTTGATTTTCTCATTTTACTTTGATGTTTGCTTAATGTTGACATGTTGTTAATATCAATGTGAATGTTCACATCTTCGTATTGTGAATTATGGATTTAACACTTGAACTGTACGCGTAGTCATCTATTTTTTGCACAATGTGAATTTTCATATCGATTTTTATTACTGTTCATTGTTGTGTTTTTGTGTTTTTACAGGAGATGGATACCTTTATACTGTTGGTGTGTACATATGGTTGCAATACAACTATAATAAATGTTGCCCGCGCAATGTGTTATTCTCGTTTGGTGGAGTGTTTGTGTGAGAAATGGGATGAGTTGTCTGCTGGTTCTATTTCATTGGTCTGTAAACTACCTGGGATTAGTAAGTGTGATTTGGACAATGAGGAAGAATTTCAGAACATGTTACTGCTTGCTAAATCAATGGGAGTACAACATGTAGAAGTTGTGGTTGAGTTGAAAAGTGATATTGGTCAATCAAGTAGTTTGGGATTGGTGCGTGTGGGGGTTGAGGAAGAAATTGATGCACTACGGAGATTTTGCCACCATAAGGAGAAGGTGTTGTTGTCAGCCCCTTGGGCAAATGGTATTACGCATGTGGGACAACAGTTTGTTGGAGGTGCACAAGAATTTCGTGACGTTTTATGTAAGTATGCCATCCAATGTGGGTTTCAGTTTACGTACGTGAAGAACGAGACAACAAGAGTTACTGTTGTGTGTGCGATGCGGGAGGAGAGAGGCTGCTTGTGGGCTATACATTGTAGAGCACAACGAGCAAATGATTTTTTCTACATCAAGAGTTTTAGTGATGTGCATACTTGTGGTACGGATGTCCGAACATCGAAGAATTCGCGAGTTAGTTCGGATTTAGTGTCGAGTACCATATCTGAAATTGTGAGGGACAAGCCGTTGACTCGGCCGTGTGATGTTGTGACTATTTTGAAGAGGGATTATGGGCTAGATGTGAGTTACCACGTCGTATGGTTGGCTGTGGAGAAAGCAAAGGCTGGTATTCATGGAGATCACTCATTATCGTTTGACCAGCTGTGGTGGTATTCGAATGCTGTGATGCAGTACAATCCGGGGAGTTATGTCAATATTGACTATGATGCGAGTAGTCAACAGTTTTGTCGTTTCTTTGTGTCATTCGCTGCGTGTATTTCTGGGTTCAATTCTTGTCGGCCTTTATTATTCTTGGATGGAACATTCCTCAAAGGAAAGTACAAAGGTCAGCTACTTGCGGCAACAGTGAAAGACGGAAACAATGGTTAGTATTTTTTTTACCTGTATATTCATGTCAATATTCACATTGACATGCATAGTATGGACAAATGAGTGATTGAGATATTATAAGTAATGTGAACATTGACATTAGTATGCACTGATGTGAATGTTCACATCTGTGTCTGCTAATGACAGTAATGTGAACATTCACATTATTATACACTGATCCATTCACATTATTATACTTCTGTGTCTGCTAATGACAGTAATATGAACATTCACATTCACATTAGTGTATACTACTGTCAGTTGATTCATTAATGAATAGTACTGTGAATGTTTACATTATCAATTACTGAACAATAAAAAATGAATTATTAATGGTCGTTAATGTGAATGTTCACATCATTAATGTTTATGAACTTGAATCCAGAAATAACAATAGTAATAGGGCAATGTAGATATAAACATTCACATGACCTGTTTTGTTTATATTGTTTTCTATTCACTTTGAAATATTGTGAACAGTTGCGTATTGGTGTTGTGTTGCAGGTCTGTTTCCTGTTGCATTTGCTATTGTTGATTCGGAGACCACGGTGAATTGGTCGTGGTTCTTGCATGAACTTGGGAAGGTTGTTGATGGTAAGCGCCAGATTACTTTTATTTCGGATCGTAATCTTGGCCTGTTAGAAGCTATGCCGAAGGTGTTCCCATCGGCTCATCATGGTTATTGCTTACAACACTTGAAGAGCAATTTAAGAGACCGGATGAAAGGAATTGATAATGGATTCAGGGATCACCTAGTAAGTAGTTTGGGTAATTGTGCTTATGAGCCAACTGTGATAGGGTTCCATGAAAAGCTTGCAAAATTAAAAGAGGAGGGTAAACAATGAGCACATGATTTTTTCAAGGACTTGGCACTTGAGCACTGGGAAAATTCATACTTCAGGTAATAATAGTTTTATAAAGTGTTCCATTTGTCAAGTTCAGAATGGTAGCGATGTGAATTTTCAGTTAAGAATTGTAAAAATCTTCAAATTGTTTTTCATGTTCAATGTCAATGATGTGAATGTTCACATCTGATAATGATGACTGATTTGAATGATGTGAATGTTCACATCTGTTGTCATATTTTGCTGTTGTTAACATTCACATCATTCTGTCATTTAAGTTGATGTTAATGTTCATATCTGTCTATTGTGTAAGTTGATGTTAATGTTCACTGCGAATGATGTTAATGTTCACATCAGTCAACGTGAATGTTCAGACCTGTTAAATTTTGTATTGTAAAATGTTTGTGATATTGTGCAGGGGCATGCGTTATGGGGAGATGACTTCTAATGCGGCGGAGTCATTTAATAACTGGATTAAAGAAGCACGTAATCTTCCTATCACTCAAATGGTGGACACAATTCATACTCAGTTGATACGGCAAATGTCTGCACGGCGTGACCAAGCAAACAAATGGAATGAGCTTATTTGTCTTACATTCGAAACAAGGCTTATGGATTCGTTCAATGACAGGAGGTCTTGGCAAGTTAGCAAAGCCAATGAGAATGTGTTTGAAGTTCATTCGATACCATCTGTTACTGTTGATGTTGCGAGGCGTATATGTTCGTGCTTCAAATGGCAAATCAACGGATTCCCATGTGACCATGCTGTTGTTGCCATTCAGAAGAGCCGCTACAATCTCAATAATTGTGTGGAACATTACTTTCATGTACAGACATATCATGCAGCGTATTCGGGTGCCGTATTCCCTATACCATTGGTGGAGAAGTCGCCTTTTGATCCCATGGACTTCATCATATACCCGCCAACTGTGAAAAGACCACCCGGAAGGCCGAAAAAGAATAGGATCCCATCAAGGGGTGAGAAACTGAAGCAAATAAGGTGCGGGAGATGTGATAAGCTGGGGAGCCATAATCGGAAGTCATGCAAGGAGCCGATATAGGATGTACATTTTTCATTTCAACGTTGTGTTTTACATTGGATTCTTATATTCATTTTTGAAATAAGATTGTGTTGTGTTGGCAAGCAAAATAATGGTTTGGCAAACTTAGTATTTCATTTGTGCTTTTTCATTTTCTTTTTGTGTATGAAACTGATATTTTGTTAAAGTTGTAATGATAAATACATGATGTGGACATTCACACTTACGTAAAAGAATCAGATTATGTGAAAACTTGCACATGGGTTGAACTTTTTTACCTTATTGTTGTCAATGTTGACATGAATATAAGCTGTGATGTGAACTTTCACATGCATAAGTGAGTATGAACATTCACATCAGTGTTGCAACTGTGAACATTCACATCTGTCAAACATTAGTGCATATGGATATCATAAGTGAATGTTCACATTTGGCAGAGAATCATAAAACATTCACAACTGTTATAAACAAGAACAAATGTGAATATTCACACTTGTATATGTGATCCGTAATGATGTGACATAGATATTCTTGCAGAAAATATGTGTACTATAAAACAATCGGATTCAAACCATCGTAGAAATTATACTCATCACAACACAGCAGTATGAATATCATAAGTGAGTATGAACATTTACATCAGTGTTACAACTGTGAACATTCACATCTGTAAACATTATTGCATATGAATATCATAAGTGAATGTTCACATTTGGCAGAGAAGAATGACATTTACAACTGTTATGAGCAAGAACAAATGTGAATATTCACACATGTGTATGTGATCCGTAATTATGTCATGTAGACCAAGTGTACACTCCTGCACAAAGTATGTGTGTTATAGAACAGTCAGGTTCAAACATTCGCAGAAATTACACTCATAACAACACAGCAGTATGGATATCGTAAGTGAATGTGGACATTCACATTAGTGGTGCAACTGTGAACATTCACATCTGTAAAACATAACAACACCAAAAGTAGTTCAAAATCGCAGCTGGCTTTTTCCCATTAACAGATGTTGTATCACTGTTTTACAATCAGTTGTTGTGTCAAAATATCAACGCATTCCATATTACCATTCAAATCGACTGTTGGTTAGTTTGTAGGTGGACACCCCCCACCTATAGGTTTTAATGAAGCTCTGATTTCTTATGATTCAAAAAACTATGCACTAATAAATCTCGTAGTCCACACCATTCTGAACTACTGAGGCTGCCCACAATTTCTTCATGGTATATGTGCGCCCGCATGATGTAACATACTGCAGGTCCGCAGTCCACTCTGTAAATGCGAAATGGTTTTGATTAGCAGTTGACATGAATATTTGCATAATGGTTATGGAGGATTTGAAAAAAATGTAGTGAGGCTTACGAGTCGTCGCCTTGCTGAGGACAGACATCAACACTTTTGATTGGTTGTGCTGGATTTTGGCCTGCTAACTTAGTGTATAGCGGTGATGACTCGCCAATAACGCTCACAACATGCTCAATGTACTTCCTCTGTGTATGGAATTTCAAATTAGGCACCAACAAACATATGTGTGTGTACAGTCATTTAATGCATGAGAACAAGTCATGTTTGTGTTCAAAAATAGCCACTTATAACTTCCTGTGCTTGGTCGATATACGGGTCATGTATGCTTGTTCTTGGGCGCAATGAGTTGTAATGCCTCCACAAATTGTCTTTAGCATCATACACAACTATCGTCCAGTGGTACTCATGATGCAATGGGAATAGTAGGTATCTCTCTCCTTGGTAGTTTTTGACATGTGCATCAATGTGTTTACTCCTTTTGCGAGGATGGTACTCTCGTATCACTTTCTGTACACATTTGACAAATAATTAATGGACTGTGAAGTTTCACATTCATATTACAAATAATGGAATGATAGATTTTACCAAACACATGCTCGTGAAGATGAATGAGGCTTCATCCGAAGTTGGGTTGACCATCTCTTGTTGTTCATGCAACAGTTCAGCATATGCATCTATGAGCTGCACAAACATGGGGTCATATTTTATAGATTTTGTGGCTGTGAGTGTGTGTGTGTCTGTGTGTGCATATGCATGAAGAGTGAATTATGTTTGTAATGGCATACATTGCTGTGCATTGATTTCTCATTGATAAGGTTGACAATGTCATCAAAATACACATGTGTAGCCTTTGAATCTCTTTTCCACACCAGTAGCCTATGCATTATGAACAAACCAATGTGAATATTTACATTGCACAGATCTGAACAAACCAAAAAAATTAAACACAGTGATGAATATAGACTATTACGGAATGTGAATGTTAACATTAGATGTTTGTATAGTCACTTACTCATCACCTCCACTTTTTTGTAAAGCTTGGACCTTTTGTTTGTCTTGTTTGGACATCTTGCTCCAGACTTTGAACTTGTTGGTCAAGGATAATTTTTTTGGCTGCTTCACTGGTGGGTGTTTCTCCACATCTTCAACCATTTCGACTGGATGGGGCTGCTTTTGGCCATGTAAGTCTGGGTACTGGAAGTCAGGCAAGCGATGTTCTTTGCGATCTTTTTCCTTTATACACTTGACCCTACAAGGTGGGCTGATATTGTGTTGCATTGGGCTAGGGGGTTGCTTTTCTGCCACAGCCTGTGTGACAATGTGGACTGACTGGTCATCGTAAAGATCCTGAAGAATTGTTTTATCGTATTCTAAGTCAATGACCAGCTGCGTTAAGTGTTTGATTTCTTTATCCTTCTGCTCCTTCTTTATTTCGATATTCACGTTGGGCGGGCTGGACTGGTTGAACAATTTATGTTCAAGATCAGCTATGACTCTTGCACTTAACTCCCATGAAAATTGAAGGTGTTTGTACTTTGCTTCCTATTGCCTTATGACGTCCCAAGCCTTCCGATTTTCTTCGATAAGCACATCAATGATATCAGGTTGGTTTGTGTTTGGTGTTACAATAGCTCTGTCATAATGTTGGCTGCTAAATGGAATGTGAATGTCCTCATTACTGTCCTTTAGCTCCACCACATCCCCAGAAAAAGTGGGAGTTGCTGCCATTGTGTTGTTCTCCCTTGGTGTTAGAAAGGTTGGGAGATGTTGTGGCTGGTTCATAAATTTCAGGCTCCACCTTCAATGTTTTACGCTTGAACTTTTGTAATTCTGTTGGGATTGCAAAGAGTTCACCGGCATTAACCTGAAAATAAAAAAAATATGTGTAGACGCGCCATTGGGCCTCGTTACAGTTCGGACCCAATTTGTGTCACGGTCCTGTATCTAATCTCACAGAGTGCAATGCAAGACCGATGAATCATCAAAGAGTCCAAATCCGACAAATCGTTTTTGAAAACAGATTTTTTTTTTAAAGAAGTGCCAAACATGGACTGCTTTGCCAGATACAGAGTCGCCACCTAAATATTTTATTTTGGAAAATTTAGGAAACCCTGACTCATTGCCTAAGGCCACGTGTCCGTCATCACCAAAGTTGCCTCGGCTCGGGAACTTGGGTACGATTGGGGCAGGTCACTTCGTGAGCACCCCCGCTCGCCCGATCAAAGATCGGCCTTTACTAATCATGATATCTAGTTTTGAAAACATTATGCGTTCTTATTCTGGTTATTAGCCTAGATTTACTATGTGATGCGCACAGCATACAAGTATAGACTGGATCGCCTGAATTGGAACAAAACATTTCATGTTTGTTTCAAGAAACGGTTTGCTACTCGTAAATAGGCCAAAATGTGGATTTGCCACCCTCAGGTGGGCTTAGAAAACATGATGATTTGCCACTCTCAAGTGGGCTTAAAACTCACAATTGATGAATTGTTCCAATCCAAATAACCCAACATTCACCCACAGGCATTCAGACAGTTATACCACATAAGCAGTTAGCCTCATGGCAAGCATGCTATCATGGCAGTCACCCACACGCATGCAAGGATGCTAAAGCATAAGTACTTACCAAGTACTCCAAGCCAAAACAGAAGCTATGTTAGAAATCCATGCATGATCTTAACTATACAGAAATGCCTAATACAGCACATCAAAAATGCAACTACAATAGGCTCGGCTATTCTAAAATGACATGTGAAATGCTACAGCTAACAAGTATTCAACTCGAAATTGAGATACAAATGCAGTTAGTATGATGCGCCGAGCCCGGTGCATGCAAAACAGATGAATGATGCAAACATGCAAGCATAAGTATGCTAATTGAAACATGCTCTAATCTAACCATCATAAGCTGGTAAATAAAAGGAAGAAAAACGTGGGGTTGGAAGACATACATCACACGCACACACACTTATTATAGTTGTGCCCTCGCTCGGAGGGTCCGAATAAATAATACAGTCCGAATAAATAATTACAGTCTGAATAAGTACAAAATCCTAATTAATTAACAACTTAATTAGGAAAGCGGATAAATTAGCTTGCAAGCTATGGACCGCCTCAGCTCTGTTCTGAATGATGAATGATGCATGTTCGAGTTGCCTTGTGCGGAAATCCATTGTGATGCCCCGATTCGCCTTTGTTTACACTTAATCTCGGAATGCTGTGCGAAGCTCCAGAAGGCTGTTGATTTCTGATTTGCTACAACAGAGAGCAAGAAAGGGGCATGGCAAAGTATTTTGACATATGTATGCATGACTACTCTTTAGGGAGTGTAGTCCTCGATCCTCGTGCCACCAATCACGCATCTCGATGCATGATGGCCGAGGAGTCGAATTGCACGACTCGATGTGAAATGAATGCACATATAAACACAACAAGACCTAAACTCCATCATGGGTAATCCGGAGTGTCGGCGACCGGGAATTGAGACACGTTCCGTCACTCAGAGTACGAAACGTCCCTCGTTTCCCGTGCTTGGGCTAACTCCTATCCCAAACACAATGCAAATGAGATGGCATACACAATGCGATTAACATACAACCTAGCATACGCAATGCTATGAAATGGCATACACAATGCCCGATGTAACATGGCATACACAATGCTATGGACCGAAATGGCATACACAATGCACGATGTAACATGGTATACACAATGCTCTAACATGCAGCTCAGCATACACAATGCTATGGACCGAAATGGCATACACAATGCACGATGGACTTACACCAACATGAGTGGATCTCATCTACACTCACATCAGTGGCCATTAGATGAAAATGAGACAACCGAAATGCGTGCACATATGCACGAATACCAAGGACCGAATCTAAGGCATCAAATGCCACTCTACCAAGGCATGGTAAGGGATGCAATATGGCATAGAATAGCACATGATACAACTCTGAAACAGCATGCAAAGTGGTCCCGAACCATGCAAATATGTCACACAATGCAAGTTAGGGGGCCGACACTAGTGAAGTGCGTTACACTAGAGGTACCCAAAGCAATGCACCAAAGGCAAAACCAACCCCAAACAGACCCTAGGTAGGTCTGAAGCAGTGGGGAAATGGCCTAAAATGATGGCTCGGAATACAACGAAATGGAGCTTATTCAATGGTCCGAAAACAAAGCATACAAGCCCGACTCTCAAACGCATTTAAAGAGTACAAAACATGGCAATATGAAATTAACATAGGCTCTAAAATGTGATGCAAAACGACCCCAAAGCATGAAAATACCTCAGCACATGCATGCAATGGACCTCAAACCTCAAACTTAAGCATGGGTATTGAACTACAAGTATGCAAAACAAACATCATTCAAACATGAGACCCAAAAATAGAGCTAGGGCAGTCCAAAACAAGCACATTATCAGTTTAAGACATGGCCAAAATGTGCTAAAATCAAGGTCAAACAAAGCATGCAAAGAAAGCTAGTGAACCATGAGTTGTTCTACAACTATATAAAGCATATGGGGGCTCACCAAACCAGCCAAAAACAGATGTATACCATGTCAAAATATGCCCAAATAACCACTGAAACTCAGTCAATGCATGCAAAAATGATAGGCTCGTTTGAAAGGCCAATAAGAGGGTTACTCTACACATACATGATGGACATCAATGATAGCAAAACCACCTCTGAAAATAGGTTATGACAGCCCTAAAACTCACCAAAAAGGCCCTGAAATCAACCTAGGAAGCATGCAAATAAAAGACCCTTTGAAAGGCCTTGAGTGGGATTGTTCTACACATGCATCATAGACATAAAATATGGCCAAAGAGGCTCTGGACAGAGTCAAGGAAGATCTTGAAACTCACCAAATTGGGCCTAAAAAGTGACTTCACAACATGCAAGTAAGGGGCCCTTTGGAAGGCCAAAAGGGCCAACAAACAAGACAAGGAGAGAGGGGGTCACCCCTCTCTGATTTTAGCTCTCAAAAACACATCTAAGCCACTGAAAATCCATTGGATTTCAGTAGCTAAGAGGCCAAACCAAGGCCAATGCGAATGCTCTAATGCATAGCCCTAATCATGAGGAAATGAAGCATGCTAAGAGGAAGATGACCCCAAACAGAAAAATGCTCTTAATCAAACATGTTTGTAAGCTCAAAAGAATTTTTTTTTCAGCTTATGTTAAAGTCCAAAAATTCTTGCAAATAAGACTAAACTATGGAGCAAAATAATGCAAAAATGGGAGAAATAGAGGCTTACCCTTGTAGAGCCAACCCTCAGCAACTTCTGGACCAAGAATGTGACTCCTCAAGCTCTGCAAATGACCTCCAAGATGCTTGAATGGATGGCGGAGGTGGTAGGCCATGAGGTGTAGTGTAAAATGGCCAAGAATAATGGGGTTTTGATGCTTGGAATGGAGAGTTATGGAGGAGGGTGTATGTATGCCTTAACCAAAGGATTCAACCCTTGCAATGGAAGCTAAGCCCCTCCTTTATAGAGGAGAGGCTCTAAAGCTTCTTAAGGAAGCTAAAAACCAAGCTTAAACATCCTCCATGTATGGAGGATGCATTCTGAGGCTTCCAGCTGGCACAACTGGCTTCAACTCAATGAGACAAAAAAGGAGAAAACTGGCCGACCAGTTCAGGTGGTCGGCCGACCACTTTTCCTGGTCGGATGACCAGTTCAAAGGGTTCAGGTGGTCGACTGACCACCTTTTCTGGT